CAGGCCTTTCCTCATCCATACTCCCTAAGTTGTGATTAGCAACTGCCATCTTCCGAAGCGCAGGACTGGATTATGAGACAATACAAAGGGTAACTGCAAGGCAGGGCCACATTCAATTTTTTCATCATCAGTATTTTATTTTTTTTTACTCAGTAACGTGAGGGGGTTTTAAATGTAGCAAAGTAAAACTACTTAGGTTAAAATTTACTCGAATAAAAGTAAAAATTACATATTTCAAAAACTACTCAGAAAATGACAAATTACTCATAAAAAGTACTCAATTACAATAACTTGAGTAAATGTAATTCATTACTTTCCACCCCTGGGCCAGATTCTCAAGACAACACCCACAAAAGAAAGATTATTTGGAAGCTTGAAAGGTTACAGTTGGAAAGTTTTGGTCTATTGAAGGATTTTGGTTTAAGGAGCTACTGGCTCCAGCTGCACTATGTGGTTTTATTGTTATATAGAAAGGAGCCTGATAACGTTGGTCATTGACTGATCATCTGTAAGTGGAAAGTACCTCAGAAAGCTGTTTAAAATCAGCAGGTTAACTAAAGTTGGAGCTGATTGAGTGGAAAACAGTTGCCAATTGACTCTCTAAGTCTTTTCTAAGTTATTTACTCGTAAACAAGTTATTTGATATTTCTTAAAAGATTAAAAGAAAAAATCTATCGTTATTCTTGTTCACCAGACGAATCTTACATGTAGGACAGAAAAAAGGTGGGGCATGAGGTGCAGGCTATAAGATAAAGATAGCATTTCATAACAATGACATGACAGGGTAACAACAACCATTCGCTTGTTGAAAATACTAGGATCTGTAAAATGTATTTAAACTGAATATTAATATCTCTATTCTGCAAAATAAACTTGCCTTTTTTTTTTTTTTTTTTTTAGCAACAATTGTGAACAGGCCAACAACGACAAGGAACCAGCCAAGAGTGACAGCAGAGGGAGAGCATTTATGGCCGACTGAAACAAAGGCTGCGCTAACGGGCTGATAAGGAGCAGGTGTGAGAGGAGACAACGAGGAAGCCGAAGGGAAAGGAACACACACAAGAGGGCAACAGAGAACAACAAAGAAAAACACTAAAATAAATCTAGAAAATACTACAAAATAGAAAACATGGAGCAAACTAATCTACTTGATCTAATAAACTTGATCTTCATTAACGCCAAGTGAAATAAAATTGAAAGGGCCAGTTAGTGTTGCACTTTACTGATCTTTTTTACACTAATGCCCTTTTGCACCATTATTCAAACTGTTTCATTTTTTATCCTACATTGTTAAATTCTGATCACTGCTGCACTTTGTCTTGGTAATGTTTATCTTACGCAAACTGCAATCTCATTACACTGTTGTAAGCTGTATGCAACAGAATTTTGTTTTGTATACACACTGTGCATGCAAAATGACAATAAAATTTGTCTAAATCTAAATGATGATTTTTGTGGCCCTCAACCGCATTTCAAGTGTGGAATATATTGGTATGTCAACTTAATCTGAAAGTAAATCACAACACGCATAAATTGGAAAGCAACTGGACTTTTTCTCAGTTCTTTTGAAGACCTTTGGAAACCTT